TGAAATTTTGACAAGAATTTTATTAACATTTTTTTAAATAATTGCATTTTGGAGAAGAAGTTTATTATTTATAAAAATAATTGACATTTTAAAGAAATTTTTTTTAAAAAATGTTAAAAATACCTAATTAAAATTTTGCTAAGAATTTTATTAAAATTGTTTTCTCGAATATTTCGAATTTCCGATAGAGAAAAGAGAAAAGAAGGAAAAAATAGTTATTTCCCGAAAATAAGAAATAAACTATTTTTTTCATACTAATTGTTATCCAATTATATCGTTTGTCCCTTAAGAAATCTTGAATTCTCCATAAATGGAAAAACTAGGGAAAAAAATAATTTGTCCTCTATTGTAATCGTAATAAATCCTTGAACAGGATTAATTTGAATGCTTTTATGCAGCAACTGTTTTATTTCAACATTGGATTTTAATTAATATTTGCGCAATTTTTTCTTCTCTATTTAAAATTTTTTACGTTTCAAATCCAAAAATTTTCGCCGATTGCTTATCGACACAAATTTTTTCTTTAAACTTTCTCAAATTATTTTTTTGGCAGAGAAATTTTATAAACTCGTCTCGATTTTCTTCTTATTACGTGCGCGCACCATTGACAAGGTCGAAGTTGCACCGAAAAAGGTTCGATGATGCGTCTGCCTTCGAGAGAAAAAAAAAGTTTCTTTTATAAATGTCGATTTCATTCCATTTTTTTGTTCCCTCAATTAAAATTTCATCATTTTTCATTCTCGATCGTTGGAAATTTTGTACTTTAAAAATTTTGAATTCTTATTTCAATATTTCAATTTTCCAATTTTTAAATATTTCAATTCTAGTTTTAATATTTTAATATTTCAATAATTTAATTCTGATTTTAATATTTCAATATTTCCATTTTTTAATACTTCAATATTTCGATAAATTAATGAAAATAATTTTTATTCCTCAGTTATTATTATATTTAATATTTAAATCGCAGATTATTGCATATTTAATTTTTGAATTATTAAATTTCAATTTCAATACTTTAATTTATATTTCGCTCTAATTATAATTTATATTTTCCCTTAATTATTATTTATACTCGACCGTAATTTATTTTGAAAAATTAATTTAAAATTCGAAATAACTTTGAACTTCTACTTTTTCGCAATGAATTTTTTTTTCTACAAAGCTTTAAAAAAGAAATTTAAAAAAACAATAATTTCCCTCAATTCATTTTTTTTCTGCTCGTTATTCAGATTTTTCGAATATTCGACAGAAATTTATTGTTGGCAAACAAACTTTTTGTGGAGACGTAAAATTTTAACCCAGATCTGTAAACTAGCGTTCTACATAAAGTATTTTACGATGTAACACCTGTTGAATATTTTATATGTATATATATATTTTATATATACACACAGAGCCAAGATTCACAATAGAATTATATTCCAAGTGAGGAATAATTATTATCCGACAATGAATCAATATTGATGGCCTTCTTCTTTCTAGACTGAAAACTCAGCGAGACGAACAATTAAATTCGCACAGGCAAATTATAAAATTATCGTAAAATCACTAATTAGATTCATTTATTCGAAATTACAAGCTGTACATATATATATACGAAAAGCAATTAAACATCTGAATTAATCAGGCTTTAATTTAATGTTCTCTTGTTTGTTTAAATGTGAGTCATTTTGCCACGCTTTTTTCTAATTAGTCATGAAAAAAAATCCCTTTTCGGAGATTGACGAAAATATTGTCTACTTTCAACAAAAAAGAAAAATCGATTTTTTTTTTTAATTCCACCTGAGAGAAATGAATGAATTGAGTAAACATTGTGGTGTTTTAATAATATTTAACTACTCGGATCGTTGATAATTTAATCAAGTTTCTTGCTGTATTTTTTTCGTTTTAGATAGGGGATAATGTTTCATTTGTCATTGTGGAGGAAAGGAAAAAAATACGCACGCAAACAGAGACCAGCTGATTCGCACTCTGCAGCAGCTGTCGAGTGTATCGGGTAATTTGCGCACCACATTGCGAGAGAGAAAGAGGGAGATAAGTCGCGAGCGAGAAAGAGAGACACCGTTCAGAGGAAGAGAAAGCGAGGGAGGAAATGAGAAAGAAAGAGAGAAAGAGGGAGAGAAAGAAGAGAGAGAGAGATGAGAGAGAGAGAGGAATATAGGCCTGCCCTAGGGTAACGTTATCCTTCAAGCCAAGTCTTGGTACCCCTTCTTCACAGCTACTTTGCCCGGGCTTTATATCCAGGGCCGTGCTCTCCTCATTCGTTGCCAAAACAATAAGCAATTAATTTATCTACTTTTCTCATTTTTAAATAATTTATATTTAAAAAAAGTGTCAGTCGTTTGAAAAATAATTAATTTTTCACCCCCAAGAAAAGGGAAAAATTTTTTGCTTCTTAGCTCTTTAATTTTGTTTACTGCACTGAAAAAAATGTATTTGATTCAAATAACCGATTAATTGACTATTATCAATTAAATATTTACTTGAAACGAATAATATTTATTGGAATCAATTAAATTGTATTTGAACCAATAATTGCAGTATTTGAAGCAAATACCATTTAATTGACTTCAATAAATATTATTTGAAACAGGTAAATATTTAATTGACTCAAATAAATATTATTTTGATTCAATTAAGTATTTAATTGACTCAAATAAATTATTTAAGTTTTAGATAATTTTAATTAAAATTTTGAAAAAACTAAGTTTGGGAGAAATTTTTTTTATAATTTTCTTTCAAATACTTGAATTTAAAAAAATTATTAAGGAACTGTCAAATTAATGTAGAAATTTTGGAAAATTGAATTAAAAATAATTAAATTTGCCAAAGAGTTTAATTACATAAAAAAGAATTTTCAAAGAATTTTAATTTAATGATTAGTAAATAATTGAATTGAATTTTAAATGGATTTTTAAAATATTTTAATAAAGAGTTATTTATAATAAGTTAATTAAGGTTTCGTGAAATTGAATTGAAAATAATTTAATTTGTTAAAAAATTTCATTACAGATTTCAATTCCATTTTTTAAATATAATTCAATGTTTATAAACAAGTAATTGAAAATTGTTGTAATAATTGAAAATTGATGAAAATAATTGAACTTTTCTAAAATTCTATTGAAAATAATTGAAATTTTCTAAAATAATTGAACTTTTCTAAATTTCTATTAAAAATAATTGAAATTTTCTAAAATAATTGAAGTTTTCTAAAATTCTATTAAAAATAATTGAAATTTTTGAAGATAATTGAACTTCTCCAAAATTCTTTATATTTAAATTTTTGAAAATAATCGAGGAAAGTTAACCACAGTATTTACTTTTAATTTTAAAACAAGTAGACAATTTTAAAGTTTAAAATCAAATTTTTGCTTAAAAAAAATTATCTTTTTTTAAATAATTGAACTCCTCATGATTTTTTTTATTGGAGTCAGGGAAAAAGTCGAAATTTAGTCAGGAAATCAGGAGAAACAGAAGAAAAATTTTTATGGCATTCCTGAAGAAATTAATAAAATAATAATATAAATCAATTAATAAAAAAAAAATATGAAATATGAAAAAATTGATAAAAAAAATGAATATTTAGTTATCAAAATTAATTGATAAAAAATATACATTTCATTATTAATAAAAATTAATTGATAAAAAAATATATTTAATTATTACTAAAAAAAATCGATTAATAAAAAAATATATTTTTTTTTATTAATTATTGATAAAAATTAGTTTTAAATATAAATATATATATATTATATATTCTCATATATTTCTTTTGAATTTTGAACTTTTTTCTCAAGGATTCGAAAATTTTTGGCGAGCACTCGACCTTGACTTAAAGGAGATTCCTTCGTTTTGTATATTTGGCAAATTCAACGGTCAATAGACTAATTCTCGTTCCGTTCGCCGAACTGTCTGGCCTTTTTTTTATTGAATGTCCAAAGGATAATGACTTGCCGCGGGTCCTTAAACTCAAGAATCAAAACTAGAAGGTGACCGACCTCTCACTGTCGTCGATTCTTTTCTTTTTTTTTTCTTTTTTAAACTGACGCATCAGTTCTCGTCGCAAATGAATCACAACTCGTGTTTCTTATTCGCAAACATACCGTGAATTCTCGATTCGGTCAAATTCGGTCGCATTTGATTTTTGATTTTTTGTCAATTTGTCATTTTTAATTTTTAATTTTTAATTTTTAATTTTTAATTTTTAATTTTTAATTTTTAATTTTTAATTTTCAATTTTTAATTTGTAAATAATTTTTTTTTCATTTTTAGAAGAAAATTTCCAGAGAGAAATTCGAAAGAAGGAGAAAAGAGAGAGAAATTCGGAAAGAAAGATAATTGGAATGTTGAAAATTGAAAAGCTTTGAGAAGAGAGGATTTAAGAAACGAGAAAAGTTTTTTTTTTGGGAAAACGAAAATGAAAGGAGTATCGATCGAAGGAAGGGAGTAAATGATACGACGCCATGTCAGTTGTCAAGTCAATTATCCAGCCTTGGACGGAAGTAGAGGGAGATATTGAGCGATTGGATCACGTTCGTTTCGACGTCATCGTCAAGGCTGATGATCTTATCTCCTTTTCCCTGCACCCGGGCTTAATCCGGTTTCGAATCGGTTTAATCAGATATATCATTTTGTGTGTGCCTCTTATGTTGGTCAATTGCCTAACGTTTCATTTCTCATATGCATTTCTAATGTTGACAAAAAAAAAAATAAAAAAATTCCATCTCCTGCGGTCACACACATACAGCACACATTCTAATTTTATCAACTTCTTGAACTGCTCGATTTTCAGAAATGGTCAGAAACAGTAGAATTTAAATTTATTTTATCTCTATTTATTTTTATTTCTAATTTAAATTTAAATATAAATTTAAATTTTGAAATTTGAAAATAAAATTTTAATATTTCAAACAAAAATAGTTTCTCTATTTTTAATACTATTCCAATTAATATTTTGTTTCCTGTCAACTAACAAAAGTTTTCTTTTCTTTTCACAGGTACGTCCCTGGAATATTTTATTGGAACAATATGGAAAGACAGTGAGTTTTAAAATTCAATCTAATTCTACGATTATAGAAAACTACAATTATTCACACCTTGGAAAATATTTAATGATGTTGTGAAAAAAATTTTCTCAATTAGCAACATGTGACGTTGAGTATTTTTGTTGAGAAGAAAGAGAAAGAAATGTGCACGCAGATGAAAAGATTCGAGGGGGAAAAAATTATCTCTAGCCGGCGACAAAAGACCGAAAAAACAATCTTGTCAAAAATTCATTTTTACCGGCAAACAATGCAGTCGACTTGGCCTTGGCGTGGACGTTGAACTTTTATCCTCCTCGGTCGATGGATACAGGGTCGAAAGACGACACGCCGGTCATTTTTTGGTGATAATCAATGTCTCACGACATTATAACGAAAAAAAATAAAAAAAAAAAGAAGGAGAAGCAGAAGTCCGATAACGAAAGAGCGTCAAATATTTTTGTTTTTGTGCGTCATCGACGAGAGAAAAATACTGGCTCGCTGCCCGTGTTAATGTTTCCTTTCTTCGATCTCGATTTTATTGTTCAATGTCGTTTGATGGATTTTGTTAATTAGTCTAGTAATTAGTTCCTTAGTTCTTTAGTTCGTTAATTCTTTAGTTCTTCAGTTTTTTAGTTCTTTAGTTCCTTTTTTCTTTAATTCTTTCGTTCTTTTCTTCTTTAGTTCTTTCGTTCATTAGTTCGTTAGTTCTTTAGTTTTTTAGTTAATTTAATTCTTTAGTTTGTTAATTCTTTAGTTTTTTAGTTCTTTAATTCTTTCGTTCTTTTTTTCTTTAGTTTTTTCCTTCTTTCTTTTTTTAGTTCTTTCGTTTTTTTGTTCGTTAATTCGTTAATTCGTTAGTTTGTTAGTTTCCATTTCGGCTCCTTTTCGAGCTCAAATTTTCCCAGCATTATTTCGATACAGTTTGCTCTCAAACTTTGTTTTTACTCGCTTTTTGTTGTGATACGCTAGTGGTTTGATTTATTCATAAAGTTTCTTCATGCATTGAGCATATTAAGTTCTGATATTTTATCCTCTTAAACTTGCATATATCGTATCGCGACTGGCTTTATGAAACAGGAAATATTATGACAAACGGATCGGGAAAATTAAAATTTAAAGAAACAATCATGCGAAGAACTGTTCTCCGAGTTCTTTTCAATCGATTGCCATTTTATTGCATTAATCTTTTATTTTTTCTTTTTTTTCTCTTTTTTCCCCTCTTCTTTTATTTTTTCTCTTTTTTCTCGCCTCCTCCTCTTTTTCAAAATTAGAATTCTCCTTATTTCCACGCCTATGCTTGACAATAATCCAGTATAGTAGAACACAAAAGGAGAGAGTGGGCGTAATTCTTGCAACGGTACACGCACGAACCCGCGAAACACAAGTTTCTACTTGTCGCCGCAGTCCCGTGGCAAATTGTTTTCCTTCTCTCCGGATTCGTCACAAGATAAAAAGGAGGATGTTGAGAAATTCCACTCTCGTCGGAAATTTCAGCTTCTTTGCCGCAGTCAAAGTTTGATTTCCTACTTTTCTTGATTTTCAAAATTAGAATTTTGATTCTTTCCCTCTTTTCTCTTTATATTCAGAATATTTTCGAATATGTTCTTAACAGAGTCCTGCTTTTACTGCTTAGATTCGAATAAAATTTTGTCGAAATTTGAGAGAAATTCGTACGAATATAATCCGGAGGACAAAAAAAGTGTTCTCGAATCTAAAGTCTCTTTGTTTATACTTTGTTGAGGCTTTTAATGAAAGCAATTTCAATGTTTGCTGCGAGAGTTTAAACCGGACTTGAGATAGCGAGTGAGAAGTTGAATTCTCCGAAAGTCTTCTTCTTTTAACGGCAATAATCTCGCTCTTCAGCTTCTAGTAAAGTGCTGTTAGATGAACGCGCGCACACATTGCGTGTGTTATTTGTAATAAAAAAAAGGAAAAGAAGCAAAAGAAACGAGAACATTAAATATGTTTCAACTCTTACGGTATACGATTCAATTCGTCACTCTCCATTGTAAAAACAACCCACAATATTCATTAGCTCCCAACCATGAACCTCATTATATTTCCCCTGGTGGAAACTAATTTACGCATCTTCTCAATTTTTGCAATCTTCCAAACGTGAGAAAATTCACCATTTCTCCTCCTTTTCCTTTTTTCACCCTCTTTTTGTTTTCTATTTTTTTGTTTTATTCTTTCGATATTTACAAATTAATAGAAAAAAAAATAAATTTCTTTTAAGTATTGTTTTAGGTTTCGATATTATCTTGATTCTTTGCAATTATTTCGAAGAAGAAAAGAAACTGAATTTGTCACTTTAAAGAAGGAATATTTATCGGCTTCGAGATTGTACGATTGTATTGGAGATTTAAGAGAGAGAGGAGAGTGTGGTTGATGATACTTGAGAGCTTGACGTGACACATTTATAAAACAGAAAGACATCTATCTATTTGCTAAGGAAAAGGAGCCTTGGTCAATATTTTGTTCTCCATTTGACGAACGACGAACGTGTGGAGCATTCATTTGGGTACATCGCCAAGAGTGAATCCTTCTAAGGTCGATGACGACATTAACCCTGACCCACTGACGAGATACGCGATTCTCACAACGGTAATGAGTTAAAATTAGCGCAACTTGCATTTGCCATCATGTACCTGTTCGTTGCACTGGCAAATATTTCGACCACTTTCAGCTAGAAGCTCATTTATTCCGCTTCATCTTCTTCTTCTTCTTATTCAAAAAAAAAAGTACAAAAATTGCTCGAGAATTTCGCCAAATCGAATAAACAAGAATGTGGAAAATATTTATTTAGGAGAAGTTTCATCTAATCGAATTCTGAATCTAGAAAATTGTTATTTAAAAGAATTTTCATCCAATCGAATTCTAAATCTAAAAAATTTTTGTCAAATAGAATCTTCGTCTAATCGAAATCTAATTCTATGGATTTTTATCTAAAAGAATTTTTATACCATCGAATTCTCGTTTTATTCGAATTTTTAATTAAAGAGAATTTTCATCGAGTCGAATTCTAATTCCTGAGAAATTTTATCAAATAGAATTTTCATCTAATCGAATTCTGAATCTAGAAAATTTTTAATTAAGAAAATTAAAAATTAAAAATGTAGAAAATTTGTGTCAAATAGATTTTTCATCGAGTCGAATTCTAAATCTAGTAAATTTTTGTCAAATAGAATTTTTATACCATCGAATTCTCGTTTTATACGAATTTTTATTTAAAGAAAATTTTCATCTAGTCGAATTCTAATTATAGAGAAATTTTATCAAATAGAATTTCCATCCAATCGAATTCTGAATCTAGAAAATTTTTGTCAAATAGAATTTTTATTTAATCGAAATCTAATTCTATGGATTTTTTATTGAATAGAATTTTTGTACCATCGAATTCTGATTCTAGGGAATTTTTATCAATTTTTATTTATTAGAATTTTCATCCAATCGAAATCTAATTCTATGGATTTTTTGTCTACTAGAATTTTTATCAAACCGAATTCTGAATTCCTGGAATTTTTCTTTAAAGCGAATTTACATTTTCTTGAATTTTCATTCAGGCGAATTTTTCTTCATCCGAATTTCTCTTTAAAATCTCTATTTACCTAATTTATATTTAACGAAATTTCTATTCAGCCGAATTTGTAAATATTTCTTTGATAGAAAAATTATTCAGTCGAATTTTTAAATATTTCTTTGACAGAAAAATTATTCAGTCGAATTTGTAAATATTTCTTTGGCTGAAAAATTGTTCAGCTAAATTCGTAAATATTTCATTGACTTGAAAATTATTCGGCCGAATTTGTAAATATTTCTTTAACTGGAAAATTATTCGGATAAATTAGCAAATATTTTTTTTTTGGGAGAATTTTCCCAACACCAAATAGTAAATATAATATAAGAAAAAGAGGAAAAAAATCTACTCAGCTTTCTTCTACATATCAATTCCGTCAATTCGCGCAGTTATGGATCACTTTCTTTTCATGCTTTCTAAATCGTTAAACGATTAAACACTGCCATCAAATATCTCAAGTGTTAAGTTGCATTAAAGTGGTTTTCACTTTCGAGCCTATTTCCGACTTCCACCTTTCCAAATTAAATGACGTATAATCTCAATTTTTCATTCGCCTCCACCTTTAATACATAAAATCAGTAATTATTTCTAAAAAAAAGAAGAAAAATTCTCCTCGAAGAAAGAAAAAAAGCAATCGAGTATCGATGAGAAAATTTTCATCTTTTTCATTTTTGTTCTATACTTCCATATTTTCTTTTTGGGGAAAATTTTGATTTCTCTTTCCTTTTATATTCTCTTCTTTAATTTTCTCTTTTCGTTTATTATTTTCTTCTTTTTATTCTATTTCTCTTTGGATAGAAAATTTCTCCTTTCAATCTAGAAGAGAATTAGAGAAAAGTGATTAAATTCCTGAAGAAAATGATGATTTTCGAAAAAGAATTCTTTAAAATGATCTTTAAAATGTTTTCTTGAGAGAGGGAGAATTTATGAATCTTTCGAAGCTTAGAGGGCAGGTATTAATTTCAATAAATAAATTCCAATAAATTAATTAAAGAAGAAGAGTATAATCCTCTGGGGTATGTGAAGTACTAATCCATGAAGTAACGGGTTACCTCCAAGCGTTTTGCCGGTTTTCAAAACACAAGCCTCTCTAATGGCGACGTAAACAACGTCGAAGCGCTTGCGCCAAGTTTGTCTTCTTCCCTCGCGTGCAATCACCCTCCCCTCTCTTCTTCATCCACCCCCTACACCCACTCTTTTCGCGGTTAAGGCTCTGCATTCTTTTTCGGTAGATTTATTCTCGAATCCACTCACAAATCCATTTTCAAATTCTCAAATCCCCTCAAAAACCAAAACCATTTACTCTCAAAATTACTTGAAATTCACTCTTAAATCCTCAAATTTACTCAAATTCACTCTTTAATCCTCAAATTCTACGAAGAAGTAGAAATTAAATTAATTACTAAATAGAAATTAAATTTCTTTAAAAATTTTAATT